GAAAAGGGTATTCACTGGATGAAGTAATACTCCAGGCAAGAAAATAGGCTGGAGTGTGATCACCAGAGACCATGTCAATAGTGTGCTTCAGAAATCAATGTGAAAGTTTCTCTAGGAATCATAATTTTCTGCTGGTCTTAAACAGCAGCAGATGACAATGCCACACACAGCGGTTCCGCCATGTTGGCCGGTAGGGGTTCAGCTATGTGTGCCAGTTAATTAGCATGGCAGAACTAATCCTTTATCTGTTGTCTCCCATTCTAAATGCGTCTGCTCTAACTGAAATGAGGAAAAGCATGCTCAGATCCTGGATTCCCTTATGTAGGTACTTAAACAAAATCACAGTTAAATTATATTTGATTTTGACAAGTAAATGCCTTTGTAGTCCTGAGTCTTTATTTTTAAGCTAGCTGCACTCCCATTATTTTCTTCTTCTTACAGTTACTTGTCATACAGATCATACTCACTTCGATTTCTGTATGCTTAAATATATTCTTCTATGTAGTTTCTTGAATATAAAACCGACAAAGTTTGTCCACAAAAAGATGATGTGGTTGGTGACGTTTTTATGCAACCTTTTTTTGTTTATTACATAAAGTTAGTTTTTGTAATAAAAGAAAAGAAAGACTATATATAGATTAAAGACTCCTACCCGGTTGCCTTCAAATCTTGAGCGATCGTTGTTTGCCTTTGCTGTTTTCTCTGCAAGTTTCTTCTGTCTTTGAGGGCCTTTTCCGAAGAAAATGTAGTTGACAAAGGCGTATTCAAGTAAGGCCAAGAAGACAAATACAAAGCAGCCCATAAGATACATGTCAATGGCTTTAACATAAGGGATTTTAGGCAAAGTCTCTCGCAGATGAGTGTTGATTGTTGTCATAGTCAGCACAGTTGTAATACCTGCATAAAGTGAAAAAGAACACATATCTTACAAGTCCAAGCATACCATGCTTCAGTTTTGTTTTCCTTTTTGGCAAATTTGCCTTGCCGGCGTGAAGCAGCTTAAAAATTTGTGAACGTTATCTCGCAGGTGACATCACAGCACATGAAAGCAAAATTAAAGGCTGATGCATTTATACCGCAATACAGCATTTACTTCATGTGATGAGCTAACAAGGGAGCCTGGCATCACCGCTATTAGTTAATGTAGTTTCATGGAAGCTAGTATAGCTGCACTAAGGATCTCTTCCATGAAGACCAAACTGATGTGAGACTGCAAGGCAAATAGTCTGCCCAGCATTAAAAGGTGTGCTCTTCCAGCACTGCACTGCTCAACACAATGAAGAGAGTTTTTAAAAAGTAATGAAACTAATTAGGGATCTGGATAGACAAAATCATGTGCACATATTAAGGCAGAGTATCTGTATAGATGCTGAAATATCCCTCTAATGCACTTCTAAATTTCCAAGAGTTCAACAGCTGATTGAAGTTAGTCTTGTAGGGCTTCCCTGTAGTGGAAAAACAGAGACCCACCTTTCTAGAGCAGTTCATCCCATCTATTTTAGACATCTATTTCAGGAAAGGACAACATAGAAGAGGGATTTGAGATTACAAGTTTAGAGCAGTAGTCTATTTTTTTACATAGAAAGAAGTAAGAAGAGCAAACAATGAGAGGTAGACAGGTGTGAGCATTTATGGAAGGAAAAAGCCAAGGAGGAAGAGCTGCATTTTTATAGTGATTGACTGGACACTAATAAAATACCTAGAAAAATCTATAAGGTATGTCAAACCCCCATTTATTTACCTAAGGATGGTCATAGCACCTGAAAATATATTACAGAGCACTGTTTTGAAAAGCTGGTAAGACAAGGAAATTTATTGTCAGTCTGCTTGAATTCACAATAAACTGTAGGGTCTGTATCTCTGCTGGAAATTTTATGGCAAGTGCAAATCACTAGCTGAAAACACTGATTTGTGGAATAAGTCTCCACTGGTAAAAGAGGCAAGTCCCCTTGCATTACTATTTTCTTTGATTCCATAATTATACCATCAGTTTGTAAGTAGTCACTAAAATGCAGGCAGAACAAAAATAAAGAATGAATGAAAATTACTGCCGCATTATAAAGCACAGCTTCTTTTACCTGGAGAGACAGAAATAAAGACAATATAACTCAAAATCAAGCTGTCAGTGTAAACAGTGTCACTCCAGGGAACTGTACTAGTAGCCTATGAGGTTCTGTAACAGATACTTTGTATATTTAGTAGGTCAGCGTCATGTGGTTTTCAGTGCTTTTCCTCTAAACTGTGAAACAAGTGTGCGTTGTTGATGTCAGATGCTGCATGGCTTGAAATACAGCGGAGACACACAGCACAAGCTTATTTTAAAATTGTATTGGGTATAACTCACCCAGCTCTTCAGTAAAATGAGGAGTATAGCTGACACATTATTTTTACCTAAAGAAACTTTGACAAAGTCTCTAGAAAACCCCCATGCCAACACAAGGAACAGGGGTGAGAAAGCTGGAGGACTGCAGCAATTACTATCATACGCTTGCAGCCCAAGGGATTCCTCTAGCCTGCATCAGTTTATTTCTTTGTAGAACTGCCTGCTGCTGCTTCTCATAAGGGATTCCAAAAGCTACCTAAAATCAAACTGATGTTTGTACCAGAAATCTCACAGATTCCTTTTAACACACCTTTGGCATCTCACTATTATCCTACAGACGCTTACTAAAGCCTAGATCAACAAGGGACTTAGAAGCCTTCCCAGTAGATGTTACTACACCTACATCTGCAGTGTCTGTTCCCAGGCTGGAATCTCAGTTCCAGAGATAAGTCCTTAAACAACACATGGGGACAGTTTGGTGGATCTCTTGGTGATCCAGAAGATTAAGCACACTGAATAGAAAGGTGGCTACCACTAACCTAAAGGAAATATATCCCCTGGCAGATTCTGCTGACACCCTGTAGACAAATGCCCTTCTGAAGATCAATAATTTATTTTAAAGCACAGCTGGAGGATAAGCAGCTGACACTCACCTATCATTTAAAAAAAGGATAATCTTGTAATTATAGTCCTTCCCAACAGCAAGAACTCTTGAGATTATTTTTCGCCTCACTCAAAGGACTGAATTTAGGAACTTCTAGGGCTAACTAGCAAAAACTTAGTTTTGAACAGAACTTATGGTTTTGGATATTTCTCCTGAGATTAGCCCTAAATCAGCCTCTACCTGCAGTGTCCATAGCAGAGTCTCTGGAATGAGCTGGTCTTTGACCAATGCCTGTGTTTCTCTGTTGAGGGAACTACTTGGATCAGTGCAGCCTGGGTCACAGACAGCATGTGCAGTGAGGGACCAAGGACAGGAACAAAACACGGAAGTGAATGAACTAAAATCCGTCTCTTTCTGAGAACATCGGCTTCCTACAGGGGTTGAGCAAAAGCTTGTCTCCATGTCCCTAAGGACTGCACAGAGAGTTCTTCCTCTAACAAATATCTAAGTCAGCAGGCCTTATTCTCCTCTAAAATGAGCTTTTCAGAGCTAGTTACATATGTCCAAAGGTGCTACATTGCCTTTAAACTTTGATCGCATTTCGTATCAGCTTCAGATTCATAAAAGTGGCTATACAAAGGAACATAGGATTAGTCCCACGGTACTGAACTTCATTATACAAATATCAGGTGATACAAGACATAATCACCAAAGCTCTAATTGTTTTCTCAGAAGAACCTATTAGATGATTTTTTGTCCTCTCAAAAGTACTCTCTATCAAGTGGAAATAGAACATCTGGGCTCCTGAGCTTGCTTTGAATGTACTCTCTGACTTCTGCTCTAATATTTCTGTTATCACAGTACAGTACTTGATGAACCTGTGCTACACAGAAGTAGGCCACATGAGACAGCCCTGTTCCCTAAACAAGGAAAAAACACATGAACCCATTGCAGAAGGGCATTGAATGTCACTGAGATTGGTAACTTCTGTCTAACCATCTGTTCTCTGCAGTCCTGATCAGTATGTAAAATCTAGATGCTGACTGATGTGTTTGAAGTGCTCCCCTCACTAGGTCATAATGTCCCCAGGGTGGATCTTTGGTATCCAGTAGCTCATTTATGAATACATCAGGGCTGTTTAGACTCTACACCCCACCTCCCATTAAGCTACTACTTATCTGGAACCTGCTCAACATGCACTAGCTGCTCAGTGATAATATCAGACTGTGTCATGCCCATATTCACCAGCTAATGCACAGTACCTGTAGAATTACTGTACAGTAACTGCAATTAATCTACAATATCTTCAGTTACCCAAGTTCAGACGCTAGGATGCAATATGATATTGCACAAAGGTATAGCTGTGACTGCCCAGACTGCTTTGCTATGTGGGACCATGGGGAGGATGTGGAATCATATGGACGTGGGTCGGACTCCTGGTTTGCAGTAGTACATATTGGAAAAATAAGGGAACTAGGGAATATGTTCCTGTTTTAAGAAGATAAGAGAGTACGGCAGGAAGTTATACAGCATAGGCTTAGTGTCAAGTTTTGGGTAGGAAGGTATGTGCTATTGGGAAGGACAGGGTTGAAGACGGGATTTGGGATGAGATGAGAGGTAGCAGTAATCATAAGGATTTATGGATCCATTTAATCTTCCTTATTTATAGCTATCCCTAAGTATGTTTCTGTAATAGATGAAATATTTCCTGGGAGATATTTTGAAACCATCTTCCCTTATCTAAAGGATACTTTAATCTGAAAAGGACTTGGACAGGGATCCCCAACTTGTGCAAAATCCATGTTTTTCTGCCATCAGACACTTTAAGTTGTTGTAAAAATGCACTTAGCATACCGGGCATTCTAAGAGTTAGGAGGGATGTCATGGTCCGTAGCTGATGTGCCCCTGTGCTCTGGACTAACACATGGTTCTTGCGGTCTGTTCCTGTCACTGCCAGTTAAAGCACCAAGGACCTCGGAAGGAGGCTTGGAGCCACACTTGATTTCCCACACTGAGCTGGACTAAAAGCCCACGCTCAAGCTCTTGGATTTTGGAGCTGGTTCCCACACTGAAGCTACTGACAACAACATTAACTTTGATGAGAACCAGGCTGGGACCCATACGAGCAACTCAAGTCAGAGATTTAATGGTAGCTATATTCTTGCATGCAGGGGAAAACTTATCACTTTTGAGGCAATACTGGATGACATGATTTTGACGTAAATGATTTTGAAATATCAAAACATTGACATCACATTGCAGTCTTTAACAGCCTCTGAAGGCTACATTCAGTCTGACATTTTAATGTCCCACTCATTCTTAGCACATACCAAGGGCGACTCTTGCTGCTGATGCATCATAATTGATCCAGAATGACACCCATGATAAAATGGTAATCAGTATGGAGGGCATGTACGTTTGAAGAATAAAGTATCCAATATTTCTCTTCAACCTGAAGCTCAGAGAGAGTCTTGGATAGGCACCTGAGGAAAGAGAGGGGGAAACAGCATTATTTATACTGAAGAAAAGACACTTGCAGATAGTTGTCTTCAGTTTCCGAAGAAACTAAAGCATGCACATTTTATGGGGTAGTATGACATCTGCAGAACAGTAGGAAAAATGCTTTCACACTATTACTAGTTGGTATTAAAGAAAACCTGCAGTGAATATAGTGATATCCAACCAATTTGTATCTGGGAAGAAAAGAGAGAAAGTTATTCAAGTTTATTGAACAGATGGATGAGCACCGGTTAGCTTTTAAAAACAGATGCTTAGGTCTCCAAGTAAAATGCTTATTCAAATACAGTTTTATGTATAGTATTTATGTTGAGGGGATTAGTAATGTGCATAGTTTTTTTATTTACATGGAAGAATTGATCATGGGATGGCTCTTCTTAATTACATCAGAACTATGAGAAACATGTTACCTGTGGTGTCAAAAATAAATTGTAACAAAATCCAGTGAGGAAAAGCCTTCAGACCAGATCATCTAACATCAACTACAGCCAGATATAATTTTTCTTCCAAAAATGTTTTAAACAAAAAAAGATATTACTTTTATATGTGTGCGTATCTACACAGTACAGATATAGCATTCACAAACTGTTAAAATTGGAGCAAATAAAGAATGAAAAAATCGAATAACCTCAACATCAGTGTTTCATACAAAACACTTTATTGTTTAACTTCAAATTGGTGTGTTTCAAAATTAGTGTTAATCTTAATATATTTTATATATTTAGAAATCTCAAACAGATTAAAAAACGTGACTTCTTTCATCAAATGCAGAGAGAATTAAATATGAGTACAGCTGTACAAGAAAAAGGTACACATTCACACAATATTAGCTCCATTATTTCAATGAATTACTAGTCTTAATATGATATTTGTAATAGCTCATCTAAAAGCTCTTGTTACAGTCAACATCCTAAAAATCATTTCTGAACATACCAAGGGCCCAACTATGTATTAGATCACATCCTGCCTGTTCTAATGCAAATATATGTAAGATATGAAATAAAAGATTACAAGCTTCCCTTTCAATTATGTTCATGTTCGCATACAAGCATAAGAAATTTCATTTGTCCCTATACAAAACAATGAAGGATTTCCTGAGAGAGAAAGCAAAAGAAGGAACAGAAAACTACAGACTTCTTTCCTCACATTCCTGATAGTTCAGTACACTTTGAATCGTATGACAGAAAAATACACAGTTGCCAGGAACCAGAAGCATCCAGGGAGTATCAAACTTTAGGCAACTATCCTAAACTGTTTTATCAAACAATCTCAGAAGAACTATCACTGGTAAAAGAAATATCATGTATTTGCTTGCTGTGATTACTTCAATCAGTAGTAATTTTTTCCAGGATTAAATGCCTTCTAGTTTCACCAACAGACGAATATTGGTAGAGTCAGAAGAATTTATTTCATCATGAAAATCAGACCAAGGTTTTCTGCTATCTAAAGCAGTAAACATAATTTTCAGCAAAGAATCATTTATACTTGAGCTTGCTTAACATCTTCATTTTCCAGTGAGCAACACTTCAGTTCAAAAGACAAATTCTCCCTTTGAAACGATTCCTGCTTTTTTGCTTAACTTTTTTCACTGAGCTTCTTATGAAATGGGTTTCATGGCCTTGTGTCTGCACATTATGTAAATAAAACAGGAACATACCCTGCCATCATGAAATATATTGAAAATGTAGCTGACCTGTTCACCTTTCTGCAGTAAGAGTAACTAATCAAAAATCTTTATAAAGCTCTGTTAAGGAAAATTATTTTGTGTAATAGATCACCCACAAAAAAGAATTATCTATAAATCTCTTCCTTTCCAAAAGTTCTGTACAGGTCTGCGTGTCTGTGGAATATCATTGATAGAGGTGATGACTAGAAAATCTCTCAAAAAATACTGATTCTTTGAAGGATTCATTCAAGAAGGTTCAATGGAACTGAATCTTTGAATCAAAGCCTCTTCTTAGGCTGCTCCAATGCCAAGGACCTTTGACATGTTGAGGAACTTCAGAGAAAGAAGAGAGCACTTTGCTATTCATAAAGAAAGGAAAATGGCATGGATGGTGAGGCATGTGTGAACACTTGAGGGACGTAATATGTCACATATGTCAATAATGTTCAGTAATGAAAACCTGAACTGAGAAACAGTGTAACAGAGAAAACTTTAGACTTGAATGCTTCACCCATGACCGTCATCCATTGCCTCGTCATCATGAGGAGCCCCGTGCCCCTGAGGAAGCC